ATAGAAATCGTTATATCGGTTACCGAGATACATATTTGTGCTAAGTAGTTATTGCAATCATCAATTTTAAGTGAACTAGCTCCAGTAGTTTATCACAGTTTTCGTGTTTCTGTAAATTACCATTATATGTCATGTGGGCGTGGTTATTTCCCGATTACAAGGATTTTAAACAGATTTCTTAGTTAGACCCCACCCAAGGCTTGTGCCGAGTTTGATAAGGATTGGTGGAGCGGTTACTGAGATAAAGTATTTCACCATTTTTCCAAAAATTTCATAATATTATTTTTTTACCACAATTCTACTCCACGTACTAACTTTCAACAATTTTCATCTAATATTTACTGAAATAGCGTAGTTTTTGCATTTTTCGAAAACACCGTTTATGGGAAGTGGGTGTGGTTAGAGACCGATTTCGCCCATTTTCAATACCAACCTACCTTGAATAAAGGGCAACCTACGTACGAAATTTCGTTGAGAATTTTTTCTCGAGTTATCGTATACACGGACAGACGGACATATTCAGATTAATCGATTTCTCTTTTCAATCTGAGCATTTATATTTATATATGTCTGTCCATATCTATCTCGATTCGTCTTGGTTGGTACAAACAACCGTTATGCGAACAAAGTTAATATACCCTTGTGCACAAGTGCGCTCGGGTATAAAAAATACATACATACATATATTACTTTCATCATCATACCCTTCCATTTTTCTTCTCAACATTTTCTAGTTTTGGATATTTTACATACATAAAACAACAAGTTGAGAAAAAACCCAGGCGACGACCTATAAAATAACTTACCAGGCATGCCTAAAACTCTCTACTCCATTAGAAAATACTTTAAAAGCTTCATTTGTGGCCTAGAGAGTAAGACCGTTTGAAGTCGAATTCTCTCGAGTTTTTTGTCCTACAGTTCCCAGTTTGTGAGGCGATTAGTGTTTTAGTGACAAATAAAAACTAGGATTACATTTTCCGTAATTAAGGTAAATTTTGTATTAAAAAATTAAATAAATATAATTATTTTAGTTTATAAATGAACAAGAATAAATAATATGAAAATTTCTAACCAAGTTCAAATTTAAAGATTCAACAACTTCTTATAATCTAAGCAGCCGGCCCAGTTTTCCTCCCAACCAGGTGCAGTTTTCTTCAAATTTTCATACCATCTAACAACATTGGGGTATTTGATGAAATTGTAATTAGCGATTTCGTATGAGGACACTGTCGCCAACAAAGAAATATCAGCCAAAGTCAGCGAATCCCCGGCCGCATAGGTTTGACCCTCCAGCAAAGTATTAAATAATTCGAAAGCCGGATCTATCTTCTTATAAGTTTCCGGCGCAACTGGTTGTTTAAAGATATATTGTGTGACGTAGAAGTCGAAGAATGCCTGGTACAATGTGCCGAAATCAAAAAACAAACGTTGGTTTACGATAGCGCGCTTCTGCGGACACTTTGGATATAAAGAATCATCTTGGCCATATTTTTCAGCTAAATAAATTATAATAGCACGAGATTCCCAAATAGCAAAACCATTGTCCACCAATGTAGGTACAGTGTGTTGTGGATTGAGCTTAAGAAATTCAGGTTTTAAATGCTCGCCAGCATTTAGTTTCAAAAGTTTCTTATTTAATTCAATGCCTAGAGCTTTTGCGGTCATGATGACCGAGCGGCAAGGAGCTGAAGCAGGCACGTAATAGAAATCCATTTCATTGATAACTGAAAAACAAACAAAAAATTAAAGTTTTAGCTTAGGGGCTGTAGTTATAGACAAAATAAAAGAAGCTTTCAATTATTAAAATTCCATTTCATGTCAAGTTATAATGCCTTTATGTTCCAAAAGACTACTTAACAATAAAATTGGCAGAAGTCGGCTTAAAAAATTTTTACAAAATTTTACATATCGTACCCTAAGTCAAAAATAGTCACAACTCTATTTTTTCTCATAAAACAATTCACATATCATATTTCTAACGTCCACCAAACTCTCTTCGTTATCACTATCTTCCTCGCTTGAGCGGCATGAACAGTTTTTTTGATCTCCTGAATATTTGAGATTTTTTGAGTTGTGACCGTGTTTGATTTATGATGCGATACGTATTTCTAGGCGCATCCCCTCTCGAAATTCAACTACCCAGCCTATTTTATATTCGCTTTATGTCAAACTTTATCAACACTTTCATTTCATTTGGATTTATCTGTTTCTATCTCGTTAACTGAAAACTAGTTCTGGAGGGAATATCATTGGCAAATCTGATTGAAATTTGCTTTTTATAAAGGCGTGCTCTTTAAACCTCTATCAACAACCTCTAAAACAGCGGATATGTATATGTTTTGGCGCAAAAAGCATTGGAATTTTTTCGTAGACATTTTTTTACCGTTACTTTGTCATTTGCTTTGTGTAATTGGAATCAATAGATATGATCCAAAATTTTATAGCAAGTGAAAATTTCACAAAACATTTCACCCAATCCAAATTTAACAACTATAGAAGAGCAGGCGATACCGGCTTCCATATTGATGAAATTGTTGTGTGATTTTCAAAAAAAAGTCAGCACCTTTGCCTAGTGAGGCCAACAGCTACATGTGTACCAAGTTTGGTAAAGATTTGCAAAGCGGTTTATGAGGCACAAACATTTTGCCATAAAAGAGCGGTGTCCCATTCTCCAAAATTTAAAAAACATTAAACTTTTTGCTAAGAGATTACTCTCTGTATACTTATGAATATATGAATATACATTTTGATAAATATGCATAGCTCCTGTAATCACGAGAATATCGCTCTTTTTACATTTTTTTTTTGTCAAAATACCGCTGCAAGAAAAGTAGGCGTGGTTCTAATGCGATTTCACAAATGTGTATTCAATAATAATTTCCAATTATGGGTTTGCTGCAATACATATGTATTTCAAATTTTGATTGCCTTATAGCGCGTACAGATGGAGGGAAGCACATGTGATTGTGTCACTGATTTCTCTTTTCATTCTGAATATTTTCGTATGTACATAAATACATATTTATTTTAGAATATTTATACCCATTCACGTTTTAAGTCGATTTTTAGAATAAGTATGTATGTACATACCTACGCAAGATTTTGGAATTCTGAAACAAATAAATGTAAATCACTAGCACAAGAGAAATTGTATACTGAGCTAACGTTCTTTATACATTTACTTTTATAGCTATACGTAAGCATGCATTTATATAATAGACAGGTTAATTTGCATTAGAAATACTTTTGTGTTGAAAAACGTCTTAAGAGCGCCACTATGGTTTTGCTCTCTTTTAATTAAAATATTTGGAAACAAAACACAAAACGACAAAGTGGCTAAGGAAATTGTTATCATACTTACGTATATCGATATGCCCAAATGAAATTTTTAATTCTTTCCAACAACTTCGATGATAGCAATGCAATGCAATGTAGTTAGTGTCTACGCGCGCAATAACTTGCCAAATTCAGTACATAGTACCATATATAAATTATACAGTATAATGGGAGTGCGGCCATGTGATACCACGAAAATTTCGCCAAGTCACTGAGCTACTCAGAAGAGATGATAATGTTCACATACGCCATGTACGCGTTCGATTTTAGCTTTTGAGTGACAAATGATAGTTCGAATATGAATACGACTTTTTTAATTTTTAAAAGCTGATTTCAGATACATAACCAGCGTCCTCAAGAGACCCCGATTGTGCGGTTTAAGCTATTTTGAATTTTTTCAATCAGATTCGTAATTACCAATCACAAAACACCCGGGAAAAACGTTGCAAGCAAGCGAATCGGTTTAATTAAAATTTTTTTACCGCCATATTGGATCCGCCATTTTGAATTTTTTCAATCAGGACCCAGATTCCTAATCAGAAATCCTAAAACCATTAAAAGCCGCACTTAGGGCCAAATTAACAGTGCGTAGTTAACTCAGAATCGGCAGTTAACTACATATTTTCAGTACAAAAATTTGGCCCTTAGTTTTCCTTTTTTAATGTTGGATACTCCCGAGACACAAAAGTTGTGAAGCAGAATCTAATTTACTTTTAGTTTAGACACCATATTTAAACCGCCATCTTGAACTTTAAAAACGCCAAATTGTCGGTTGTAACTTTTGGTTAAAAACTACTTGTTAAAATGAATATTAATAGAAATAATATTATGACGCTTACCTTATTGTTAAGTGATTGGCCGAGCGCCTCTTCCAATTTGGGATGGGCCGCCTCCGAACGTCAAATGAAACTCAGGTCCTAAGAGGCGACAGTTCGCTCCTCAAACTACTTAGCCACAGCAGCTTTTATAAATTTTCAATCAAAAATTACCATCTCTGGTCATTTAATATTATTAAACAATTCGAAAAATTTCTTTCCTCCGCCGTCGACATATTTGGACAAAATTTAAATAGCCATAATTCTGTTGGGGACTACAAACTTTGATAGACATTCTCTTAGTTGTGGAGCTAGAACACCAACATTTGTAATTACTCTTGCAACCTTTTCGCAATTTCTAAACTTTCCTTCAACATCAAAACCTTTTTCATGAAGCTTTGTAATGCCTACTAATTATCAAAATTTTCATCCTTCATCGTCCAGTTGCTACAGTACTAAAGAGATTACTGTCGTATTTAGAACCAGGAGTGGCATCTGCCAGAAAATCACATGTTTACGTAGCGTATCCTTGAAGCCGATTTAAGGCTACATATGTAAGTTTAGATGGATTGGTATTTCTCATATTGCCACAATATTTCGAAGGGGAGAAAGAAATCAATTACTCGCACAAGTTTGCTTAAACTCGGAACAAGTAGAAAAACAGCGAACTGTTTGTGAAATTACATAAACAGAATGCTGCTAATTAATTTTCTATGTTCTTTCTTTCAGTTCACTTACATTAATTTCTAATAGCGGATATTTTAAAGACACCAAGTACTCCAGATTTTATATTTTTTAGTAATTTTAATCACACTTTACTAAAAGACAAAATCATATTTTCAATCCCTTTTTGAAAATCAATTGAGAGGCACCCTTTTTAAGTTTTTAGAGACGGGTGGGAGATTAAATCTTACGTCATCTTAACATCTTTAAATTATTTTTCATATTTGTATAAAAGCGTAAGGTGAAACCCGCCGGTATAAGCTAGTTTACCATATAATATTTCCTTGCGGGTTTCTGTAATTGGTAACCTTTTCATGGAAATGTCCATATAAACATAGGTATATATGTAAATACACAGCCGGAGCAAAGTATTGGCACAGCAAATTTTTCACAATATATGCAACAATTTTTATTCTAATATTTTTCCGCCAATTTTGTATAAAAATTTGGTTCATTCTACAACAAAAAAAAAAATAAAAAATTTAATTCCTAAACTTGGTGCAAAACTCGCGAAAATGCAGCAAATTTTCATGGAAATTTGGAAATTTTTATTCACATTTTCTAGAATTTTTTTGAGTATGCAGTTTTGCAGTGCATTAAATTCTAGTACAAAAATGCAAGTTCGGGGTTAGTCAAAAATCGCATCTCAAACAAATTCTGAAAAATCTGATTAAAAAGTTGAAAATTCGTATGAAAATTTGATGAATTTTCACGTGTTTTGCACAAAGTTTAAGAATTATATTTTTATGTTTTTCTTTTTTTGTTTTAGAATGAACCAAGTTTTAACACAAAATTGGCGAAAAATTATTAGAATAAATATTGTTGCATATATTGTGAAAAATTTGCTGTGCCAATACTTTCCTCCGACATACACTCTTATTTACACAAAAATACGTATAGATGGTCGTACAATAATTACTACCAACAGCAAAACATAGCACTGACCTTTATTTAATGGTCCATTATTAGATAATAAATTAGCATACCCAAAAGTGCCTCAATGAGTCAGAGGTGAACGTGCAGTTATATATGTACATACATACATACTGATATTCATAAATATGCAGCTATGTAGATATGTATGCGTATTAACCTACATTGCGAAGCTAAGGTACTATAATTATAATACTTGCTTAATACTTACAACTCTGATGGCGCACTGTGTTGCGGCTAGTGGAAAAGTAACTTTTTTCCGATTATTTTTTTCAGTGTTTTTAATGATGCAATTTTGTCACAGACATTCCAAGTAAACAAAAAACACATAAAGCTTATTTTTATGTTGGCCCGTTGATTTTTAATTGATTTTAGAAGTCAAATATACAAAATTTTCACGAAAAGAGGGGATTTCAGGGCTGTATTCAAAATGATCTCATTTGATTTTGGTGACAGATATTTTGATTCGGAAAAAAAATCTGCCTTCGGACAAGTATCTTCTGTAAAAAAAAGGAATGTTGTTTGAGACATTTTCATATGCACCTTTTTTAGAGCGAAAACCCGACTAAAGGTCCATTTTTCCTTTAAATTTGGGTTAGGTAAGCAATATCTAAAAAGTCCCAGAGAGTCCCAGTTCCAAAGCACTACAGAAATGTTACATAATTTGTTTTCAACGAACTGTGAAAAAATCAGCTGCCCATACCTGCCCTCCTGGGAGTTATAGCGATTTTAGTATATCACTCTCAGTATTTATTCCATAGAAATAGAACGGAAATTCTCGGAATCACTTATTGAATAATTTAATCATATTGGTTTTCGGGTGACTTTCCGTCATCCCACGTCAAATTTTTATTATTTTCAGACCGGTTTCGGCTAATCGCCATCTTCAGTGTTTTCTTTTTTGTCACTAATTAGTCCGCATGTGTGTCCGTCTTTATATAGTGTTTTCTTTTAGCTTGTGGTGGTACCTTTCTCTCTCTCTGTTGTTTTACTATTTTATTCTCTCTCTTTCGCTCTCTCTCTCTCCCCCTTTGTTTTTACGTCTAGGTAGGTGGGTGAAATAATCCGTTATTGCGCGCTTATTTGTATTGTTTTTATTTTGTGGTTTTTTTTTTTTTTATTCTACATCTATTCTAGCACTCCACAAAAATGAGCATAACTCTCTTAAAACTGAAGCTATTGACTTCAAACCGGTATCAAATTAAAGCTTTTATTGCCACCTTTCAAATAAGAAATGAAATAGATTTTGGTTTTATATAAAATTTCAGAGTTTTTCAACAAATATCGAAAAATCATAAAAATTTGACGTTTATAATTCTTGTTCGGACCACCCTATAGTTTATTTAAAAAACTAATCATAGGGTATTTATCAGAAATAAAAGAACAATTAAAATAAATTTTTTTTTCTGAATTTTTCGAACAATTATTTTTTTTTTTTACTTTTGTTGAAAATTTGACCCAACAATTTTTTTCGGTGTAAATTTTTTTTTCACTCATTCCGTTTGGGATTTCATTCTGACCAATCTGTAGAAGTTTCTCATCGATACAATTAAAATTACAGTTTAGGCATTATGATTTCCAAAAAATTCCGGTTTCGCAACACTGTGTGGCGGGGAGTCAAACAAACATTTACAATCAATTCGTATATACTCGGATAGCCAGGCGGCTATGCTATGATGGTGCGCTCGAAATCGATAAAGGAATGTGTGATCCCTCTATCAACCCCGTCGGATTACTTCTTGATAAGGCTAGCTTAGGGGCCGGGTCACAGTCACTTCGCGGGAAACTGCGCGGCTAATTACCTGGTGTCGGAAATGCACCCATAAAATGTTATCCCCAGACACGGAGCAACTAGGGACACCTCTGACCTCCTGCGGTATACTCTTGGATGGTTAGACCTAATGTTAGCTTAGCGAACGCTACACTAACATGCATACTTCGCACTCGCGATAATGGAACTGTATACTCTACTAAATACCTACTAAAATGGAAAAGAAGACGTTTCTCTGTCGCAGAAAATATTTTTATAGGGCACTTTAAAACACTTTATGAAGCGCAAGATACAAGTGACCCATCGGTACCCCTTAAAGTGCCGAAAAACACGTTACCTCTTAATGGATAGTAACGGGGGTTCTCACAGGCCGTGGCGCAATTGGTATTCTCGTGGTAAGACTAGGAATTTCACGGTATACCTTTTTGTATCACCTGTTAAGAGGAAGATGCGGTGGAATCATCTCCACACTTTCCCTTAGACTGTCCAGCCATCGCGAGCGAGCACCGCCGTCCGTGTTGTCATCAAGATACCCGGTATAATGATCATTGAGAGCCTGTGAACACTCTCC